ATGTCGAAGATTTCAAAGGTATCACCAATAGAAAGTTGGTGCGTAAAGTTGGTATAAGCTTGCTGCGCAAAATAAAAGAGGATCTCAATTGTATAGATTATTATCACTTTAAACTTATTCTCTACGAAGCTAACATTTGTGCGGATCAGCTAGCTAAAGCTAGCATCTCTTCTAATTCTTTGGATTGTATTTTTACTATTGTCTTTCCTTCTTGTTTGGGCCTATCCAACAAGATGTTGAAAAGGGATGGTTAGTGTTATTGGTGTGGGCTTTGGCCCTCTTGCTGCCCAAAAAAAAAAGATTTTTCATCATACCCAATTTCCAACACGCGTCAGAATCTCTATTTCCCGACAAGTTTGTGATCATTAAGCTATCTGCAATCTTATCTCCATCCATTCAAAAAAAACATTTTTGACCACCTTCATTGGTCCATCCAAGATTTTATCATATTTGTTCACTTTATCTGATAACCAAATAATTATCTCTTCTTTCATTTATGCTTTTCTTTTATCTCTCTTCAAAAGATGATAACTAAAAGTTTTTTATATATATAAATTATATATACTTCCTATAACAAAAATAATGTTTCTTGTTATTAATTATTTTAATTTTGATTTTTTCCTTCATCTACAATCCATAAATTATTTTGATTTTTTCTTCATCTTCTATGAAACTAACTCATTTATTCCATCCATCTGACCATCGATATTGAAAAAACATATCTAACTATCTCTTTTCTATGAGGTTCAGAGTAAAATCCACAAGTGTATTTTTTTAAAATTAAAACATATTTTTCCTTTTATTGATTTTGACTTATTTTATTATAACGATGATGCCAATAATATTAATAATAATGATGAAAAAAGACATTAAGTTAAAATAAATAATACAATATTTTTTTCAATCTCAATGTTCATAAACATTAGGAAAGTAGTTACACTTCTTCATAGAGAAAAATTAATAAAAATCAAAAGAGTAAAAAAATGTTAAGAAATTATTCATGTTGTTTAACTTTTTATGTCTTCTTATCGGTAGATTTAGAATCTAAAAAAAGAAAATAAAAGAAGTGAAAAAGAAAAAAAAAATATGGATTTTGTCATGAACATCAAAAATGAAAAAGAAGATCCATATTATTCAAAGAACACACAAATAGTTAAATATATGATATAAAAATAACAAATTTGAAAATAACATATCTAAAATAAAATCTTTAATCATAATTTATATTTTCACAGATATTGTGGATGTTGTTTTAGTACCCATGTTCGTACTTGTTTCAATTAGATTTGCGCTCTAAAAAACAAAAGAAGTGAAAAAGATGTTAAGAATATAAAAAAGAGAAAATGTTGATATTAAAACTTACACTTTTAATATTGCTTTAAAGCCAATTATCATCTTCGCATAGATCTATAACTTGAAAAAAAAATGTTAAAACTTACACTTTTAATATTGTCTTAAAGCTATTTTTTTGTCTTTGTACAAATCTACAACTTGTAAAAACAAAAAACAAAAAGGAAAAAAGAAAAATAAATTACAAAGGTATAAAACATTAACGACAATAAAAAGATTAGAAAAAATGAAGAAGAAAGAAACAAAGAGGAATACGAGAGATGCAACAAGCAAAGAGAGAGAAGAGAGAAAGAAAAGTGGTTGGAAAAATGTTGTGTGTGTGTCACTGTGTGTATGTGTGAGAGAGAGAGAGAGCAAATGTGTGAAAATCGTGTTAGGCCTTATATATAATAATACGGGCTCAAAACCTAATTTGAATATTAAAATATGAAGATACATATTTTAATATCGTTAGTGAGCCTGAACAACTTGCTTAACCACAGAGTAATTAACCTACCACTCCCAATTATACCTCACACCCCCCAAATCTGTATGAAAAGACAAAACTGATCCTGCAAAATATTTTTTCAAAATTTCAAAATTTACAGTGTTGGGGCAGAAATTTCAAATATCTAGGGTGATATTTTGAATCAACTACCAAAAGTTAGAAACTAGTCAATTTTCCCATGGAAATTATAGAATTTACGGTATTTTGTATCAGGAATTTTAAAATTGTCAATACAATACCCATTATTTTTACCTAAAATTTCAAATCTTTAGGTAGTTATAAAAATCCAGTTTTATATCGGAAATTTCAAAATTTTCAGTAGTTGCCATTATTATTATTTTTTTCCAATATTTATTTTTTCTTCTTTTGTAGTGAAATCTATAGGCAAAGACAATACTATTGCAGGGATAGTTGTTGATCAAGTAGCAGACCAAGGTAGGGCTAATAGGGGTGCTGATGTTGAGTCTTTCTAACTACGGGCAGGACGAGTGATCCCTACCGGTTTACAACGTAAGCGATTGGATGAGCGGGGCCATTTTCGAGCACCTTGTTTCACTTGATGCTAACCAGTTTGATCAGCAGAGCATGCTATATATGAGGTGCTGCCAAATGTTCCTATATTTGATATCGTTAGTGAGCCGGTGGTTAAGCAAGTTGTTCAGGAGGTTGCTTAAGAGGTTGTAGATGAGGTACACCCAAATGCTGTTGTGGGTGAGTCAGGGCCATCGGTTACTGCTGACACAGAGGTTGCAACTCCTTTGACTAAGCCCTTTGTGCATACTGATGGAGGATTCCCAAGAGGACCCATCGACCGGTATGTGCTTACAGAGTATGATGAGCATGTGACCTTACGATTATGGCAGGGCGAGGTATATGTCTTTTATGTTTAACTTTAATTTTTGTTTATATATGTCTTTTACATGAGGTATCAACTAATTTGTTTATATTTTGTTGCCACAAGAGCGAGCCACACTGAAGTTGACATCCCACAGGTCAAAAATGAAGGACTTCTCGAAGATTCTGATGCCTGAGCAGGTCATTCAGATTATACAAGACTTCCAACTGCTTAATTTTGTCCACTGCACTATGTTGGACGCTTAAGTACTTAGTGCCTTTGTTAAGAGGTGGCACAAGGAGACATCATAATTTCATCTTCCATTCGGGGAGATAACTATCACTTTGGATGATGTCTCTGTATTGTTCCATCTCCCTATTAGCGATAAATTCTAGACGACTCATATTCTTAACGTGACCCTAACTTGTCAGGTTGTGTCACATGATTTGAGTTTGTCTGAGGTGGAGGTGCTGCAGAAGTTTAGTGAGACCAAGGGTGTACACCTTCGTATGCATTGGCTTTAGAAGATATACAGTCAGCTGCATGTGTTTTAATTTTAGTGCTGGATATACGAGCATCTTCCTAACATCTGTGACAAGAAGGTGCAACATTGTGAGTGGGGGCCCCACGGGTAAAGAGTTGGAAAGTGAGATAGGTATATCTTGGTGGTGTTGCTGAGTATAAGAGAAGGCTCGATGCGCTGACTGTAGATGATGTCATCTGGATACCATACACTAGTCATAGAGTCCACCGTCAGTTCAAAGAGTCGTCGTTATGTTCAGGTTATATGTGTGGGAGACCATGGTTGCTAGACATTTTCCTGAGAGGTGTCTGCGATAGTATGGCTATGTTTTGAGTATCCCACGACCAGTTTCAGATATACCAACTTCAGGGATTGACTGGTGGTTTCAAAGTAACTTCATCATCTTTGGTTGTGCCATTGGAGATCAAGTAGTCACTGTTCAACACCCCTCACAATGTGAGGATGGTTATTTAGAGAGGTACCTCACTGTATTACACCCTTGCATCACCCCACCTCCAGTTGATGTCGGGTCTTTTGATGATCGGATACCTGTTAATGACGTGTTGCCTCCTCCTCCTCCAGCAAATCATGTTGATGACCAGTAACACCTCTAGATGATTGCAGTTATTATGGATAACTTCATGTGTTTTGTAACCCATATGGTGAGGTTTATACTAAATTAGCTTGGGCTACACACATAGCCCATGAGGGCCTATTTAGATATCTTTTGTATTATTTGTATATTATTCAGACATCTTCATCATAACACTTTACTAGCTATATTATCGATATTCCTTAAATTGCAATATGAATGTTAACTAACATCTAACAATGGATTACATAACTTAAATAGAAAAAACTTAACATTGCAATATGATTATTAAATAAGAAAAACCTAAACACTACCAGACGTTTCAAAATGTTTCAGCATCTCCATTATATCATAAATGGATCTTAAAAGCTTAACATCTAACTCGATTGACCCCTATGTTATCCTACAACAAAATGATCTCCACATTTCCTTCACATCTTCGTCGATCTTCAACTCAATAAGGGTGTATTTCACCCTCCCGTTAGTATCAATCCAATCTTCACGAAACTTGATCTTTTTCACCTTTCTGTTTTCCCCATAAGGCAACAATTCATTCAACTTCAACGTCAGGCGGGCAAGAGATGTGGTGTCATCAGAAAGCCGCAACTCTACAGGAGGAGAAGTTCCGTTGAAGTACCCTTCTACCTTAATAAAGAATTGAGGAAGAATCATTTTTTGAGATGTGTTTATCAACAACATGTGACTCCTATTTACACAACTTTGTATCTATTCTAGACCACACAAACTGCCGGTGCAATCACAACCATCCAAAACTATTGACAAAATCTTGATCATCCAAAAAATCAAACAATTGAAACTACCACAAATTTCACTTAGATTGAAATTTCTTGTATGACCATAGATATTTTAAATTTTCGAAATAGTTTTCATATTAATTGAACTACCGTAAATTTCATACAAAAATTTGGTGTGTTTTTCACCCAAAGACCGTTTTAAAATTATAAAAATTTGGGGGTGCCATGGGTATAGCATGTTAAATTCTCAATAATAGGAGCTCAGAAATCTAATTTTAATAAATGGGCCTAATGGGACTAATGGGCCCGGCCTTAACTACATTAAATCTACAGAAAACTCACGCTTTATATTCATATTCCATCCATCAAGTGCAGTCTCCTAGCTTTTGTTCACAGTCGCAGCTCCTCCCAATCTCATTTTCTAGGGTTTGCGATCTGTCTCACTCTTCAACCTCACCATGGTTATCCCCTCTATCCTTCGATCATCTCTACGTGAATAAACTCTCGAATCGCTTCAATTCTGATTTGTTTATGTTCGATTTGTTTGTTTTCAGGTTCTCCAAAACGACATTGATCTATTGAATCCACCTGCGGAACTCGAGAAGAGGAAGCACAAACTCAAGCGACTCGTTCAATCTCCTAATTCCTTCTTTATGGTAATCATGTTTATCATCAATTTTTTTTCAGGCTTTTGTATTTCAGTTTGTAATTTATTTTTTTGGATTTTTTTAGGATGTCAAATGCCAAGGCTGCTTCAACATGTAAGTGACTTTTTGATTCCCAAATACCTAATTTTTCCTGTGTTAGAGATGTTACAAACCCTAATTGTTTTAAAATTTTCTTTTTGTTGGTAAAGTAGAAGCAATTTTGTTTTTAATTATATAACCATTGTTTAGTTGAATCAATCATCAATTTATTTTATCATTCTCTTTATTTAGGTCTAACTTATATAAATATTATATGCAAGTTTTTGCGATTTTGATCTATACATGTGTTGCCACATTGGTTGTGGTCTCGCGGTGGGAATTAATCACAATTTATTCTTTATTACAAAAACGGTGAATAACAGTAACAATGGCAACTTCCAGTATCTTTTTGTCTTTGCCGTCGCGGTATTAGACAGTGTTTAAAATCATTGATTCTAGTTAGCCCCTAAAGTATATTAATTAATAATTGTCAATTTAGTTCTTAAAACATATAATTTTTTTAATTCTTAAAACATATAATTTTTTTAATTCTGTTCCTAAAGCATATAAATTCTTTTATTCAGTTCCTAACATCTTAACGGCATAAACTGAGGTTACATTGATGGTTGATTAATATCAGTTGGTTTATTCATTTTAGTTCTAGAGATATAGTTCAGTTCAGAATACTCAAAGTTGTATTATAATCAAACGTCTTATCATAGTACAACGCTCTATTGAATTGTTAACTTATAATGGTTGAAATATGTGGATGCATAATTACTGTGTTTATTCATTCAAGGTTTTATTAGCATTAAACATCTTATCATAGAACAAATATTTTAAATTGTTAATTATAATGGCTGAATTTTGTGGATGCAGAATTACTGTATTTATTCACTCTCAATACTGTATTATCATTCAGCATCTTATCATATAACAACTGTTTTTGAATTGTTAATTATAATGGCTGAAATTTGTTGACACAGAATTACTGTGTTTATTCACTCTCAACATTGTATTATCATTGAACATGTTATATTATTACAACTGTTTTGAATTGTTAATTTATAATGGCTGAATTTGTGAATGCAGAACTACTGTGTTTAGTCACTCTCAAACAGTAGTGGTTTGCGGCAACTGCCAAACAGTTTTGTGCCAGCCAACAGGTGGCAAAGCAAGACTCACGGAGGGGTGCTCCTTCAGGAAGAAGGGAGATTAGTTATGGAGATGATAAGAGCTCTTTAGTCTTTTTGAGATGTTAGTTTCCTATTATTGATAATGAAATTTTGGTGTTATTGAATTTTGTCATGTCTTTATTTATTAAGTAGTCTATGTTTAGATTGCTCAATGGTGTTGGTTGTCTTGTGTCAATGTTCTTGTTCTCTATGTTGAGAAAATTTTTAAGTTAATTTTGTTGGTTTGACATGGTTGTTCGATATTAACTCTTAAGTTATAAATTATGTTTAGCAATTTGTTTGATACGTAATTGTGTTCTTTTGATGATATTGTATACTTTTGCAAGTTCCTCTAATCTAGAATGATTAATGAGCAATGTGGTATTTATATTATAAATAAATACTAGTTATAGTATCTTTGAGGATTTCTCATTCTCTATCTTGCCTTAAGACCTAATTATAGTTCAAAATTGAATAGAACAGCAGGAGAATTTCAAATAAAGAAAGACAAATTCTCAAAAGTAACAAGACTAGCATGAATTAAAATTCTTGCAACAATGGTATGTTTTGGTAAAATATTTTTCATATGTACTGTTTAGGATTGGTTCAGCTTTTAATAGTAAAGTATATCAACAATGGGGAACAAAAGATAATAAGATTAAGAGAGAGAGAATGAGGTTAAGAGAGTGATAGATAGTAAGGAGAGCGAAGGAGAGAAAAATGAAGGAGAGGATTCAAAGGTTTATATTTAGAAAGTATTCCTACTAGGGACAGAAGTACAGTTGCAAAGCTTTGATTTGCAAAATGAGTTTGCAAACGTAGCTGCGGGTACAAGCTGTTTTGCAAAGGTTAAAGCAATCTATCCCACACCCAGAAAAAAGAAAGGGACCCAGAAAAAAAAAGGGATTATACATGACAATAATGGATCTATTTCTTTTAGATTTAGAAAAGTATATATATCTTTTTAGTATTTTTAAAAATGATTTTTACAAATTTGTTGTTTTAAAATATTATAAATTTCTTTAAATTTCTTTTTTTTTAATTGAAAGAATAATTTTGACATCATATAAAATAGTCATTTTTAAAAAAATTATATTTAAATTTTTTTTTAATTATTTGAAATAGTTATAAAATTAAATATTTTTTTTAAATTTTAATATTAATTTTTATAATGAAATAAAAATATATTTAAAATTAAATGTTTCTTTAAAAAAAAATTTAAAACAATAAAAATTGTTTGACAATAAAAATACTTGTAACTTATAAGTTCATATGATAATAAAAGATCTATTCGATAACTGTTTTTACATCACGAATTTATAGTTTATTTTAATAATTGATGTCTTATTTTTTATTAAATAATGTTTTAATTTATATTATTTTAACTAAAATTCATTGCTACCCTTTAATATCAATTTTTATAATAAACTAAAAAAAATATTTAAAAAAATATTTTAAAAATGATTATTTATATCAAATTTTTATTTAATTTTTTGTTTGTTATATAAATTAAATTCGCAATTTTTTATTCAAGTTCATGTTTTTATTTAGTTTGCTAATTTTAAGATTTTTAAATTTTTTTTTTAAATTTTTTTTAAATTCTTTTTCTATCTTTAATTATCTAACTCCTTTCAAATTGATTTACCTTTTTAATTGAATTTCATTTTTTTTTCTTTCAATTTGATTTACTCTTTTAACCGAATTAAACATCTGTGCATGTCAAAAAATCACTTAAATCTATTTTTTTAATCATTTTTCACTATATGTGTTAGTCAAACACCTTAATATATTAGCATATTTAATCTTATTAGGTCTACATTAACCATGCATCTAACATAATATTCTTATCTCTGTTAGATTTATTTTATTTTGATGTTAATTTTTAATCGTCCAACATTTTGTTCCTTACGATATCTTAGACATTATTTTTGTGCGATAAAACTTTTTCTTTGATTTAAACGATATTTTTGTGTCACATGAAATTTTCGAGACCCTACTCTAATTCTGTCAATTGACTTATATTCTATTTTATTTTCATATCATTTTGTACTATAAACACGAAATATTTATAACGCATGACTCGTGGGATGATATGATCTCCAAATTGCACCTCTAGGTTAAAAACACTTCTCATTTTGCTGAACACACATTCCATATATTTCGTCTTATTATTGCTTAGGCAAAAACCATGCATTTTCAGATTTGTCTCTATGTCTTCAAACACTCATTTAAATTCTACTTCGACTCTTAAAGTAAGACTATATCATTGATAAAAAGCATACACCTCAATGCTAGCTTTTGAATGAGTTTCGTGAGTACATCTAAAATTAAAGTAAAAAGGTATGAACATAAGGTTGAACCTAGTTGTAATTCTATTGGAATAGAAAAATCGTTTATCTCTCCGCTTTGAGTTCACATACTAGTAAATACCCTTCATACATATTTTTGGATGATTCAAATATAGACAATTCTAACACATTTTTTCTATATGACTTTCCACGAAGTCTCATTAGGAACTCTATCATACGCCTTTTCTAAGTTAATAAAAATTAAGTGCAAGTCTTGTTGGTCTATCTGATACTGCTCAATCACATGTCGTAGTAGATGGATCAGTTTCATCGTCGACCTTTTAATCATAAAACCAAATTGATTTTCATTAACTTAAGTCTCTTTCTTTAGTCTCTATTAAATCACATTTTTCCATAATTTCATGGTATGACTCATAAGCTCAACTCCCTTTAATTTGCACAATTTTGTATACAATACTTATTATTATTGATTGAAATAAAGTGTTTCTTCTCCATTCATTTGACATTTTATTTGACCTTATCATTTTGTTATCGAGTTTAGTGAGACACTCAATATTTATACCACAAAAAAATTCATACTTTGTCTGACTCAATCACCTTTCGAGTTTAGTGTCTCTTTCTTTACTCATCTTTTTCATTGTTTATTTTACCTTTTGTTTTTAATTGGACAGTAATAATTATATTTTTGATACTCTTCTCTATTCTAACGTGTTGGAGTTTGATGATATATCATAATTTACATTGGTATAACCTCTTCTTAATCTATTAAAATATATATATATATATATATATATATATATATATATATATATATATATATATATATATATATATATATATATATATATATATATATATATATATATATATATATATATATATATATATATATATATATATATATATATATATATATATATATATATATATATATTAACTTCAACATTTTTACACTAAGATCATTCTTTAAAACATTCTACAATTAAGATATATTTTTGTAATATCACAATAAAAATAAAATGTTGTTTTTTTCAAAACACCCTTCATAAAAGAGAGTTTGGATATTGAAATTGTTCTGGACTGGGTCGAGACCTGCCCCTCAGACGGGCAGGCCCAACCCAATGCTATGTTGATGAGACCCAACAATGTCCAATCCTCTCTGTCGGACACAAGCTTCAACAAGGCATACTAGTCGGACAGAGCATTATCTTGCACGGGGAGAGCTCACGTGCTTTTCCCACGGACTCCACGTGCACGCTCGACATTTCTCCTACAAAAAAAAAAAACAAAGTCAGCAAAACACAAACCAACAATGAATGCATAGACAAGGCTCG